CTAAAAATATATATTTCTCGTATGTGTTCTCGTTTTTATAGTTTGATTAATTATAACAACTAATAAATTTATTTATAGACACGTCCACTTACAACTATGCCTTATATCACGCAAACTAAACAAAATATTCAACATACAAATGTCACTACAAATGTTATGGTATTTTATACATACTATAATCGTATGTATCTGTATATATGCGGTGCTAATAGGTGAGATGAACCTATTTTCATTAAAAAAGGCTGTTGAAATTTTAATGCACTGTCCTTTCATTCTGCATACCATCTTATTTCTCACTTTAAATTACGCATGTCAAAGTATTTATTACAAGGTATAGTAGAATTAAAATATTACTAATTATTTGTAACTAGAACAATAAGTACAAGCAACAATATTTAAAAAATGAAGTTACACATCAAAAATTTCTTCTAAATAACGCTATCTTATTTATTGGATATAAAATTTTCAATTTTACTACAGACTTTTATATTGTATAAAAACAATTTCAGATAAACGAGACAGTAGCAATTCTTCATAAATTGTCCAATTATAATCTCGATGAGGCTTTACATGAACAAGTAAATAATAACAACAAAATTTGTATACAATGTTAACTATTCTATACGTAATTTTATTAGCGCACATGTTTAGATACCTGCATGGAAGTTTAGATACCTGCATAAATTTTATCAAATTATTATATGCAAGAAATTGGAACATTATAAAATAACAATTGTATTACTCTTTTATGTTAGGATATTTGTGCACAGTACTGTATACATACTGTATACAGTAACATCACGTAGATATATAAGAATACATAGGCTAGAAAAATTTTTATAAATAATTTTTTATTTTATATGTCAAAAGCGAATATTTGAAATTTATATTATCAATGTTCTACAAAATAAACATTATGCATTTGGCTTATAAAATTAAAAATATTTTATAAAACTTTTGCAATTAGTGTTAACGTATAATATATATATAAGAACCTTATTATATACAGGCTGTCCCGTAATTCATCCGACAACACTCGTGGATAGATAGAGTAGACTAAATTGAATCGAAAAGTTTTTTATCATTTTGCAATTTTTATAATAGTTAATAAGATATTAATTGCTAAAAAATGCCGAATATTAGTTTTCAATAATTTTTTTCTCAAATACTATCAACTTTACAGAAAATTGCAAGAGAGAAAAATTTATTTTCTTTTCATAAAACTCTAAAAATTTTTTCAGAATTTTTTATCAACTTTTTAGTACTGCGTTTTCTTATTTTTCCCAACATGAGAAAATACTGTATTAAAAAATTCTAAACAAATTTTGAAAAAATTCTTAAAATTTTATGAGAACAAAACAAACAATTTTTATCTTTTGCTGTTTTTCTGTAAAGTTGATAGTATTTGAGTAAAAAATGATTAAAAACCAATATTCAGCGATTTTTAGTAAATAATATCTTGTTAACTATTGCGAAAATTGCAAAATGGTACCTTTTGACTAACAGTTTAGTCTGCTTTTCTTGTTCACGAGCGTTATTGGATGAATTACGGATAAATTATCCTGTATAAAACGACATTAAATTAGTAATAAATATTAAATCCGTAATAACAGTTAAATTCGTAATAAATGTTAAATCAATTAAATTCATAATGTTACATCCAGTTTAAATTATTTTTAATTATTTCTATAGATAGTTACTGATTTTTCTCCAATGTGCCATTAACTTAACTAAAGAAACGGAGTTGAATAATTTAGCTCAAAAAAAGATATTAACCCAATAATATAATTAATCCAAATTTAATTTAATAAGTACATACAATAATATGAATGCTGTTTACTTTTAAATTTAAAAAATGATTGAATTTTTACTCATATTAATGTTAAAAAATGTTATTTAACCTATGGGATTCTCCTTCTATGGGATTAGGGATTGCTTGTTTGATACAAAATGTAACATAACAAATGTTTTAATTTTTTACAAATCCATTTGTTTGAATTTATGCAAGTATCCAGATAGTCATAAATGTCAGTGCATAATTAACATTTGTTAAATTATTTATTTCAATTAGATTTTACAATTTATATTGCAAATAAAACAAAGAGAGGTAAAATTTAGCATGGGACTTCTCCATTTTGGATATAATTCCGTTCTCCAGGTAGGTTCTATATTAAATAGAAATATAAGCGTATATAATAGAAAGTACACAATAGAAGAACAAATATGTATTATTGTACATGTATTGTACGTATAATAATAAAATAAATATACATACTCAATCTTTCGCAAATTACATCATAAATGTCTAAATAACACCATCATTTTTAATCATTTCTCGTTTAACTGCGTTTTTTGCATTGTTATTTCACATATCAAAGTTTTCTTTTACGTTAATTGTTTTCAATTTAAAATATTTTTATTAAGTATAATCAAAGCATACTTTTTTCAGTTGTACAGCACAGTTTTGGCCTTCCTGATAGTTTTAATACAGGTATATGATCCATAATAGACTTTCTATTCTTTCTAATGTATGACAAAAATGGTTTGATTATGGTTTGATATCAACATATGTGTATGTGTGTGTGTGTGTGTGTGTGTGTGAGGGGGGTGTGCGCGCGCGCGCGCGCGTGTGTGTGTGTGTGTGTGTGTATAGTTAGTTAAATGTATGTTAAATGTATGTTTTGATTAAACCAAATAGAATTTTTGATTGTTACATGACTGAATTCGAAATTTTACTAGAACTAGAACGTTTGACACTAGAATATAAGAGTTATTATTATAATATATTGTATTATATTATAAAAAATTATTTAATATTTCAGATGAATTTAGTATTTGTTGTTTAGACATGCAACATTACCAAATTTTGATTAACGTTAACTTCGACAAAGCATATTCTAGCAGTTCGATAACTGTGCATATATCATGCGAAACATGCCGTATTGTTTTATATTGTACGTATTGTATCCCATAGTAAAGTGAAACGTGCTGTGATGTGTCATAGCTAACAAGAAAACGTCTTCTCTGTCAATGTAATTTTGAATAGCGTGTAGAAATTATTGCAATATGTCAATCCATTAATTTGAACTTCTGTGTGTCACATTACTTTGTAAGAATCTGATAATACAATATAATATTAAATTGTTGTGTAAATACATTTGCAAGACAAAAGCATCGCGTTATGGATATACTATCCTTAAGAAATAGTGTTTAGAAAGAACTATTCAGTAACTATTGATATTTCACCAGTAACTAATGAAATATTATCAGTTACTGAATAGTTAATCAATATATTGAAACAAAATACTTTTTTCTTAAGATATTTACAATAATTTTTAAGAAAATAAAGTTAGTGAGTACATTTTTTAATCCCTTTTTTTTCTCTTACTTTTTAGTATATTATAATTCGTGATTTCCCTACAATCCCTAGAAAATGGTATGTCTTAGATAATTTTTAATATAGTTAAATCAAATTTTACAGACTCTAAATTTTAAAATTAAAAATAAACAATCTATAACAAGACCAATAAGAATCACAGGCTGATGAAGATGCCAACGATTAAAATCTATACTTAATCTATACTTAATCGATTGTGTGGAATCTTCTTTATTTTGAACGTTTCGGCTTTCTTTGGAATTCTCTTCAGCAATACATATTTCAAATCTTAAATCATTGAACCTTCCGTCACATGTGAGTCACTAACAGATTCCCAACTGAAGTGGATCCTGATTTGACATATATAAAATTAAAATTGAGTCAATAGAAAAAAACCAAATTCCAGTAACTTATCTCAAATGGGAAGTTCAACAATTCTATGAAGTTGGAGGTTTATATAATTTATAATTTACTAGTAAATTATTGAAACAATTATCTCAGTTTTATACATATTCACTATTTATAATCTTCTTCGAGTAATCAAAAGCATTTAACGGACAATTGATCCGGATTTTTAATTGGAAAAGAACATTCTGCAAAACAATTCATGGAATATCAATTTCATGAAAATCGTTTCAATAATTTACTAATTAATATAAACCTCCAAAGTTTCATGGAATTGTTAAACTTCCCGTTTGAGGTGAGTTGCTGGGATTTAGTTTTTCCTATTGATTCAATTTTAATTCAGTCAAATCAGGATCTACTTCAGTTGAGAACTTATGACTCACATGTGACGGAAGATTCAATGATTTAAGATTTGAGATATGTATTGCTGAAGAAGACTCCGAAACGTTCAAAATAAAGAAGATTCCATACAGTCGATTAATGATATAGATTTTAATCATTAGCCTATGATTCTTATTGACTTTGTATAGATTGTTTATTTTTAATTTTAATATAGTTACAGTTAATCATTTATTGTAACAAAAGACCCTGCCATAATCTCATAAAATTTGAGTTTTTGGTAAAATTGACTGAAATTTTGATATGTTGTAGCTTTATCCGTGTGAAGTTGGTTCCCCAACTTTTGAAAAAATTAACAGTAATAAACAATTTATTCAGATATATAATGTGTATAATACACAATAAGTAAAAAATAAAACGTTCAAAACTGGATCTTAAGTGCTTTAAATTCTAACATCATAAACAATTAAAACTAAATAAAAATTATAAATAAATACATGTTAATATTCCATTAATAAACTCATTCCATTAATAAACTCAGTATCGAAAAAAGAAATGATATAACAAGAGAATAGTTCTAAAATAATATCAATTATATTACACCCTTCTAATGTGTATTAAATATATAATAAATTGGTATACTTTGTACATTTCTTAGATCAACATCAACAAATATAACGATGGAATGTATTACATAATATTACTCACATAATATTATTTCACTTTGTACAATAAGAGTGTCGTTAGTACTTAGTAAATCTGTTACAAGTATTTGTGTAAAATTATTTTATCGCTCTTGATTTTTTAAAGATGATCAAGAAGTATCATAATACATACTCATTAACGTATATATTATTCATTATAGTTATAAAAATACTTATAATAATAATTACAATAGATCCTCGTGTTTTTCTATTTCTCTTTCGAAGCTTTTGCTCTTTTATTGGCAACATAGATAATCCATACAAAATTAATCAAATTGACTATCAAGACTCTCAACTGAAAAAAAAAGAACAATAATTGTTATTAATAATTGCTTCCAATAATTTTTAATATTGTCTATAAATAATTTTAATATCAAAAAAATAATATAAAATATATAAAGAGTAAAAAGAAAAATACAATATAAAACAAAAAAATTTTCAATTTATATTTTATATGTATATATAAATATAAATTGAAAAGGAATTTCTAATTAAGATTTTTTTATATGAAAATAGAGAAATATCTAGAAAGTATTGCAATAAGATAATATGCATGTTACCATTGGTGGAACATATCTTATGTTGATATAGTGAAACAATGTCAAATATTTCAGATTAGCCATCAATGTTGGTAAATATAATTTTTGCATCTGAGCATATGCCACTTGATGGGTTTTGCCCTGCAAACAGATTTCCCTTTAATGTTAAATTGCAAAAGAATGTCAAACATAATAAATTAAAATACTTTTGTGAGTCTCCAAGCATAATCAAATATAAGTAAAAATATTTGTATGAAATACTATAGTTGTTGATGTATAAATAATATATTTATAAAGCGATAAAGTAATTTGCAAACAGTTGGATTGTACTTATTAAACAAAGTTAACTGCAAACATTTGGATTCTGCAAATAGAGTTTATACTTGATTTCTGCACAAAAAAGATTTAGAGTCGAAACATTTGCAATTAATTTTAGTAAATACATTCCAATTGTTTGTGAATTATATTTTCTTTGTAAATATTAATATATAAATATATTATTTATACACTAACAATCGCGGAAGATCATATAAGGCATTTACTTTTACATGTATGCCTATATACAATACATAGTCTATAGTTTACATGTTTATATGTATATGTACGTAGGCTTGCCTAATAATTTTCTATAATATTATTTAATATTATTATGTTTAGATAGCATTGTTTAATTCACGGCATTATAATACATTTTTATCTTATGCTTACAAAAGCAGCTATTGCAACAGATTATGATCTTCATACCTCAAAGATGGCAAGTAGATAAAGTGCAAAAGCTTGGAAACACGGTGTGTAAATAAGTCTCTCTATTAGAAGAATTCCTAGAGGATGTTTCACAAACAATTGTATATATGTATAAAAGTAATGGGGTACCGGACCTCCAAACAATAATCTGTAACAACATTCGTGCATGAGATTACGTAAATTTTTCAAAGCTATTTTGTTAACAGTGCATATGATAGTCACCCAAATAGAGCAAAAGCCAAGATACTGTCTTCATTAAGCTGCTTGACGCCGGATAATTTCTGAGATACCACATTTCCAAGAGCGCCGATAATACAACTAAAAATAATTATACATTTCTTGTTTCTATCATTACCTAATTTAACAATATATAATAATTTAAACATATATATATTATAATAAATTAGGTTTATAAAAACATGTTCACTGAAATATTGTCTACATATATAATACACATATATATAATATATAAATAAATATCCAGTAAGCAGCTAGAGTTAATATTAATACGTTGATAGTTTGCCAACAGAATATTATGGCAGATTGACTGCAAATATATTAAGGTCCAGTTTCACAATTCACACTGTTAATCAAGATTTAACTTATTCCTCATCTCTTTTCTAGAATTCTAGAATTGGAAAAAAATAAGGAATAAGTTGAACATCGGTTAAGAGTTAATCATGAATTATGGAAATAAGTGTAAATGTTTTGTTTATTTGCAGATATAATCTGATGGCATATTGATGCAAAATTTGTCATTTTGTAACTCTTGAATGGAATATTATTTAAATAATTATGAAACATTCTGTTTAATTTTTGCATCTGCCATCACATATTTTGTTAATGAATTCTGTTATATCTTGCTGACATACTATCAACAAAATTTATAAACTTTGTGATATCTGTTTTGAATTTAGCTATTTGAGTAAATACACGTTTTTTGATAGATGTGTGTGTGTGTGTGTGTGTGTGTGTGTGTGTGTGTGTGTGTGTGTGTGTGTGTGTGTTGTATATAATTAAAATATAAAAAAGATAAAATATTATATCATTAATCACAATTGCTGTGATATAATGCATGCAGTGCATTATATTACAACTGGCAATAATGATTAATAATGTATAATATCTTTTTATATTTTATTTATATACACATACACACACATCTAAAAAAACATCATAAGTGTATTTACTCACATAACTAAACTCAAAAGATATATCTGTACAAAACCTAATTCTACTAATGTAGTATAAGATTAACTTTAATCTCTCAGTTTAACTTAGCGTTTTTTTTTTCTAATTCTTAGAACTAAAAGAAAATAAAAATTGAACCGAAATTTAAAAAAAATTAAATGAATCTTACATTAATAGAATTGAGCCTTATTTCTTAGAATTAGAAAAAGATAAAGAATTAGTTGAACCAAGATTGAAGTATAATATTAATATAAATGGACATTATATATTGTCATGTATACATCTAGAGTTTATTATGTAGCAAGATTCTGCCTTGTTACCTCGTTATAGCTTTTGTTTTTAAAGGACTGTAGTAGAGCCGTTGTAAATATGCGCCGATGAGACCATAAAAGATATTGACAGGTTTGGAAAGCACCATTTTTTCGTATCAATTGCTATATGTTCTCAACTTTTTAGACCTAGAAGACACGATTTGTACGATGAGTCGCGAAAAACACGGATCATGCGATAAAAAGCGGTGCAAAGTGCAAACCACCGTCAGCTGATAAATAGTAGGTCTCGATTGAATCATTTCATATCGCTCTTAAGATGAGTCGCATTTTCGACAATTTTTTTTGTATTTATTCCATTGCGATTTGTATAAAAACAATAGATGTATGAAGAGCACGAATATGTTAAGTGTTCTGATAAATATCTTGTATAATTACAAAACTTTCTCTCTTCTCTCTGAACGAGTTTTTAGAAATCTACCTGTGCAACTCGATTGGGCCAGAATTCGACAATCGATTTTTTCAGCTGTCAAGAATTGTCACGAATTGTCTCGAATACGACAACTTCATAGTTCGAATGAACTTTTGAATGATACCAAGAATGCGCAAAAATAGTGGAGTTTTTTTAATTCGTATGATTGAGCAATCGCATTATGCGCAAATGCTTTTATTTCAGAAAAACTAAATCTGCACATAATATGCAATTAATCGATGAATTTAAAAAAATTTGCCTAATTACGAAATCTCTTGAGAATTTACGAGGCTTTATAACCTCGATTCGAATCAGACTTCGACTTTAGTTTTTCCAGAGTATCAGTAATCGCTTCAATCTTTACAAGATTTTTAATTTAAATAATTGGGAAAAAATATTTCATTGACTCTGTAGAATATACATACGAGATCGAGACACGTACGATTGATCTATGAAATTTGTGTACGACCTTCAACCCGAATTGGCGAAAAATCGAACCTGTTCTTCAGTTCTTTCGGAACTGATCAATCGCGAGTTTGACAAAACGCGAGAGATCAATTTGGGATCGATTTGGATACGAAGAAGCGGGACACTCAAATCTGTAGCTTCGGTCAATCTTACTCAATGCCGATGTTACAAAAACCGATGTTTATATAGATTATCCCTTTACCACGTGATTGTTTTATATGTAATCTCTGGAAAATATATTCTCTATCTTCTCTACCGTGTAAAAGATGCGACGTGGTAGTAAATAAATCATCGTGCGGAGTATAAAGTAGGTACTCGTTGGAAGCATTGTAATGCACGATCTACAATGACAATAGCAGTAGTAGATTAAGGAGTAGACGTAGAAATCGACCAATCATAGTTGATTATTTTTCTCATTGATTATTTTTTCATTGAACTATGATTGGTCGATTTCTATGCCTTAATCAACTACTGTTACTGTCCATTGTAGACCATGCATTAGAGTATCGCGCATATCATAATTGCAATACTTATTATTAGTTACATACCTAAATTGCAAAAGTGATTTAATATATAATAATATAATCATACAAAGAATAGAACATCTAAAAGTATTCAATATAGCGGTAAGTATTCATAGTCCGTTCTTATTTCAAGACTGTCTTAAATAATATCTTAAGATGCTAATATGATTCGCTGATTAGTTCGTAATTTCTTAAGACTAATGCCCGTATTCATAGTCAGATTTTGTACTTAGGCTTCCTTAAATTTATCTTTAGATGCTCAGCAACCAATGAAATAATTCGTAGAGTATCTAAAGATAAATTTAAGGAAGCTTTAAATATAAGGCCTGAATATGAGCATTAGGTTGACGTCCTATGAAGTGGAAATTTACAGCGGAACGGAACAGCGAGACCAATCACGACCGCAGAAAAGAAAGCAAAATAATGCAGAGTTGTGATTGGTCTCACTGTTCCGTTCCGCTGTAAATTTCCGCTCCATGAGATACCGGCCTTAAAACGGTCTTTAATATAAAGATCTGATTATGAATACCTTCCAAAGAGTGACTTTGAATAAACCTCGATTAATTTAATCAATTATAATCTCGCTCACTAAAAATTTCTAATATTGTACAACATAGTTTATATATTATATATAATGTAATTTCTGTGGCAAATAATAATAACAGTACCAATTGAATGGCTGCGTTCAGCAGAATATTTATTTTACAATTGTTGGAAGTTTTCTTCCTTTTCTTGCTGATTGGGTTATGCTTTTAGATCAAAAGGAATGGTCCTATCTCAGCAGATAATCAAAATGGTTGCAAAACCGTTATATGTTATGTTCTACTGAATGGCAGTCAATGGCAGTGAGCGCTCGCTGTTATTGATGTATTCTTCCAGATCTAAAATACTTTGATGATCTAAAAGAATACATAAATAATAGCGAGCACTCACTTAACTGTTAAGTCCACTGAACACAGTCATTGGTATATTCTTTTAGATCATCCAATCAGTATTTTGAATTTGAAAGAATAAATCAGCAGTGAGTGTTCACTGCAATTGTTGAGTCCATTCAATGCAGCCATTGATGATTGAAGAAATTATTCGACTGTAATTGATCAATTTCTTATGACTTAAGCAGAACCTTCTAAATGGTCACATGATCATGTCCCCCCAGATTTCAACCGTAAGCAGGGGGTAGATTGTGAATCTTGAATTAAGGTGAAAATTACAAAAGGACAAATTCATTAGAATATTCATAATTTAATTGGTTAATACCTAGTAATCATTGCTCACTTTCGTAATTTTCATCTCATTTCAAAATACACAATCAAAGGCACTCCAGGCACTTTTCAATGTTACCCCTTATGTTGTCCCTTCAACGTTATCTTTCAGTCTTCCCGCCACGCGCGTTCAAAGCCATCGCAAGTAAGTATAAAAATATAACTCTTAAGGTGCAGCTACAATAGATGGAATAAGAATTTAGGAATAAGGAATAATGATATCAATTTATCAAAAATCGTGTATTGTGGCTACACCATTATAGGCCTTTTATGGCCATTCTATAATAAGTCATTAGTCATAAATTAGAAGTTAAAAGTTGGAAATTGATGACTGTGATTGGTCAATTTCCAGCTTCTGACTTCTGATTTATGACTAATGGCTTATTGTAGAAAGCTCATAAAATGAAGAGCACAGACTCTTGCATAACGCATAATACATAAAGCCGATTCTACATTAATTGCAAGCCGATCGCAAGTTCGTTGTGACAGCCAATATGAAGCATTGATTTCAAAATGCAAGCTTCAGATTGATTGTCGCAACAAACTTGCGATCGGCTTGCGACTAATATAGAACCAGCTTAAGACATAAGAAAATCTAATCAATCAGAGTTCTTTATTTCATGGAAAGGAAGGAAACGAAGAACTTTGATTGGTATATTTTCTCATGCATTACGTATTACGTTATGCAAGAGTCTGTGCTTCCCGTTTAGGGCCATTCCACACAAACTTGTATAGCCATATGCATAAAGAAAATTATCCAATCGCATTTCTCTTATAAAGACACACATAAAATGTTATTGGATAATTTCCATTATGCATACGTTTATGCGACTATGCAAGTTGTGTGGATATATCTTAACACAAGAAACGCATCTTGTGCATAGACTTTATTCAACTCGCATCATCAGATATCTTACCACGTCGATAAAGCAGACCGCTCAGCTATCACCGAGCAAGCAGTAAATCGAGTGGACTGAAGTGGACGCGCCAGTGGGACTATCTAATCCCTACATCACTTCGGTCATCGGTTTCCTGGTCTCTCTATCTTTCTCAGCGAAACGGTTGATCGATTGACTCGCGTTGATCGTTAGTCCGTCATATCATACGTGGATCGCGTGGTACCCGTGTCCGAATCGTGTTTGTCGTGTCTGTCGTGTCGTGCTGTTATCGCGATTCGCGTGTCGTATATTCTACATAAATCGTATCGTGTATCGTAAAATCGTATATCGTGTCGTCGCACTATTTCGCTCACTGAGCGCAATCCGTTCGTACAAATAATCATCGTACTCCCAGCGCCTCATTCCCAGAATAAAGGCATCATCGAGCGTGTTATAAATCGTCGTGGTCTGCCGTGCACGGGGATCGTAGCGCCGTTAACGTCAGTTAACGTTAACGAGGGAGCTTGAGCTCGGAGTCGCCGACTTCGTCATGCCGTCGGCCGCGGTCACGACGACGACGGCGACGACGGCACACTCCGAATCGGAAAGAGACGCGTTCTCCCGCTGCTGATATGGGGCCACTGACCGAGCGTTTGGTCCTGGTCTCCGTGGGCCCTCCCTGCTTCGAAAATAAATAAAAGTCTCGAACGGCTCTATAAGGAGATCGTAAACGACGTCGACGACGACGACGACGACGACAACGACGACGACTACAACGACGACGACGACGACGACGACGACGTCCTCTTCTAAGGTAGACAACCGGGCTCAGGATGGCCTCGACCTCCAGCAGCGATGTCCAGGTGCTAATGGGCAAGGGCAAATGCGGAGCAGCGGCCTACATCAGCCTGGCTACTGGTCGGGACACCGGGACTAATACGAATCCGCCGTATCTCAATGAATTGCTGGATGTCCTGCTGAATCCCAGCAAACCCATCGATGACTGGGAGACCATCGATTGGTGCAAGTGGCTCATGGCTGGTGGCCGGACACCCGACGAATTCGCCAATACAGGTGGTTATTCATAATAAAAAAAATATGGTCCTGCAAAGAAGGATGTATAACTAATGATGAAATTAATAGCTTAATATAGGCCTATAAATTTACACCAATTGTTTAATTATTTATATCAAATTTATAATTCTTTATTAAATTGTTTTAATTTTGTCAGTGCATCTGAAGGATACGAGTGTACTAAGGTGGTACAATATAATAATAAATCAAGATGATCAATTAAATGTATATACATTTACAGGTATTGTCGAAATTAAGATAATTTAATAGAAAATTGCTAATTATATGAGTATTAAACAAGTGGTATAAACTAGGACATAAATAAAATAATTTTACATGGACATGATAAGGTCTCATCACGTAAGTTTCTTAATTTTTAAGTTAAAATGTTGCTGATGAAGACTCAAACTAGAATCGAAAAGTACATTGTTATACGTTTTTGTATTTACAACTTTTTGTTGTGGAAAATTAAGATTGATCTATTAAGATAAGTATATATTATCTTTGATGTCAACTCTTATCACTCGCTTTATTTTCATTTTTGACATTAGACAATAGACTTATGTAGAAGTTTTTATTATTAAATATTTTAAATAGATAATATAAGTTATCGAGGTAGTACAGATACTGTAATGTGTCAATATAAAATAATGTATTTTTCTATAGAAAATTTACAATGTTTTATAGAACATTGTTCCTATTTGTTGTCATTACTTGTAAATATTGTGTGTCTTTTTCAAAGTATTGAAGTATTGACGCTGCAGGTCAAGCATAATTTTGCAATCATGTTTACTTGCTGAGACAAAATGTTAATGCTAGAAATCTCTATTGATTAATTGAAGAAATTTATTGCAAATATTTATTGAAATTTAATTTGCAACACAAAGTATGGAATGTTGTAAAAATTAAAGTCAAACTTATATAATTTACACATTAATATGGTTAAATTAAAAATGGAAAACAGTAAGAACAATGATATTTATTAATAATAATATTTATTAATAAATACAATT